GGTAGTCCAGGCTGGCCTCGAACTCACAGAGATCCACCTGGCTCTGCCTCCCGAGTGCTGGGATTAAAGGCGTGCGCCACCACCGCCCGGCCAAGGGGGGTTTTTATCATAGCAGAGGTTAGGGTGAGGGGATTTCCAAGGTTCAGGACCCTGATTGACTGACATTTGTCTAGGAGTATAGGGAATGTTTGGAATATCAGGTATTTCCCCTTAGATGCAAGCCCTCCCTGGGTGGGGTCAGCTCATGGCTTTTTGTGGATCTGGTGTTACCTGCCAGTAAGCCTGTTAGAGAATCTGTGTCTGGGCCTCTAAGCCTATCATGGCAGTTGTGTGGTCAAGCTGTTTGGGGCCCCCCTCACATGCTGACACATGCTCCTTTAGGCCCTGGAGCATCTTTACAGGCTTCTGTTCTAGAATCACAGACAGCAGAATCTGACTTACAGAAAGGGACTGCAGCAGACTCCACCTGTCTTGCCTATGAAGAAGATATCAATGTTGTCTTGCAGGCACCACAGGCCTGCTAACATCTTACACAGCAGCTCCCCAACATCAACAGTATTGGTGTTACCTGATGCTCACAGAAATGCAACTCTTTAGATCCAACCCCAGACCTGCTGGATGAGAATCTGCCTTTCAATAGCATCCCCAGGCAATTTGCAAAGTGCTTTCAATCAGGCTGATCTGTTTACAAGGCACGTTATGGAAACGCATCCATCCCCTTAATTGCCTATGGTTCAGCCCTAACGATGGGAGAACTAGAGAGACCATCCACATTATCATTTACTTTTCCAATTCTATTCCCTTTTCCTCCTTCCCTTCTCCCACCCCAGCCCCTTCCTCCCTCCCTCCTCCCAGTTTCTGCTATCACCAATCCATCCATGTCCAGGAAACACTGAGCCGGTCTCTCTTTGCCACTCACCAGAGAGCCTGATGAGCAACCCAAGCCAGCCGCTCTAGAGCCAGAGAACCCCCATGAGTCAGCCAGAGTGCGCTTGCAGACCCAAGCCATTGCTACTCCCTTGATGGAAAAACTGCCCCCTTAATAAAAGATCAAAACACAGATGTGTCATCAGCTCATGAGGGGAAACACTGTTGCTAAGGCCCTGGAAGCCTCCAGCTCTTCCGGTTGTTCCTAGGGATCACAGACCCCCTCCTTCCCGAGTCTTGCCACTTCCCCTACACCAGTGTGACCCAGGCTGGTGCCAGTCTGTGAGTTGCTTTTAAGAAGTCTGTGATACATACAAAAATTACAGCAAATATTTAGAAACTTTTATAGCAATCTTACAGT